ATAAGCGCTATAAGCTCTGGATAAAGTGTCCGTGTAATGTTCACAGTAATAAGCATGAACTAGGCGTATAAGCCATTTTTACAGATGAAATCAATCTGAAGTTAAAATGCCTTCGCTTCAACACCTATAAGAGGGCCACTTCAATTCTGAACCCTAGTAGCCTAACTACAAAGCTACTGCATTTCATCAGCACAGCAATGTGCTTTCTTACCATGCCAGGGCCTATAAGGGTTTATGAGGTGCATAAAATGGAACACATGCCCTCAAAGAATAGGCAATCTGAGAATGGAATTGTGATGCGCACTAAAAATCATGGGCTGTAGAAAAAATGGTGTGATTGTTGTTCTGAGACTTGGCGGGAAGGGGTTACAAGAGGGGAGTCAGCGGTTATGTAGATTTCTTATTTCTGTAACTACTGAGAAAATAAGAGACAAGCAAACATCATACAGGAAAATATGGTAAGGCAAAGTCAAAGCACAGAATGTATTGATGTATTTTCCAAATTCAATATATTTATTATTGTCATCACTATCTGCCAATGTTACTTGAGGTGACTACATCTACCTTAAACTTACTCAATTGCCAGTGCAACCGATGAACCATAAATTCACACCATAACTTGAAGAATTCATCTCACCTCAAACCATTTTACCTCAGGCTTTATGCTTGTTTTTATTGAAATTATTTTTATGAACACACCTACACATAGTCCTACTGATTTGACTTTCAAAAGAAATAAACAATTTGTATTCTTTTGATGGGAACAATTTGTGTGGAAATAAACAGACATTGTTTAGGGAAAATTGTGAAATATGAAAACAAAGTAGACTTTTTTATATTTTAATTATCTAAACACAATGAAAAGGTAAGTAGGATCATTTTGAATCTACAATACATAAAAATCTCAATTAGTTATGGTCTATTTGTGCACTCCCTAAAAACATTCATTAACAAAACAGAATTTTCTAGTATACTGGATAAATATACCAGAAGAAATTGCAGAATAATGTTGGGTTGCCAAGCAACCACAGCTCTGCTCTTTCTTGTTTGTGATCAATCTGACTCATTCAACAAGCTTCCTAACATACTGCTGGAGAATTTCACTCAATTTGATTTTCGTGGGAAAATTATAGTGACTTTTGGTAACACAGTAACACTTTCATTCTCCAAAGATAAACGTAGATGTTCTTTTGATCAAAGGCATGTGTTAATTCATTATTCTCTACATGGTGCTAATGAGAAAGCTATAATTAACTTACCACAAGATTGCAACACACATACAATAAACTGTAGCAATTAGTAATGTTTAAAGTGCAAACCAGCCCCCCGAATTAGAAAATGCAGGCTCTTCCTTTTAAGAAATATATACAGAAAAGAGGAAGCACCCTATCTAATTAAATTGAGAATTGTTTCCAGTCCCTCCCAAGGGTAAGAAAAGACACGTGATCTCCAAAATGTGAGCGATTTCCCTTTAATAGCAGAGAACATGGCTCAGTGCCAAGTCTACTTGTAGGTAGGCTCCAAGTGCTGGCGAAGAAGGTAATCTTTTCTTTCAAAGAATGCTTAGCACAATATTTTCCAGGAATGAGGAGAAAGAATATTATGCTTTCACTCATTAGCTATGTTAACTTAGCATATGTTATGTAAATCACCATAATAATTGCATTCTCTTCAGACTGAATTACTTAGGATGGAGCTGTAATCAAAATGTTCATAATTGAAAATACAGTATTCTCAGAGTTGGTTTGAAAAATAGCATGGAACACTGATTGAATCAGAAAATGTAGCTTGCCACTGCAAACAGGCTCTGTAGAAAGACATGTTCATCCTCTTGATTACACCTGGACACGTTAATTAGTACCCCAAATTCAGGGCTCAACACCCTCCAATCTGTCACATTTTCTGCTGCTGCCCTTTGTCTGGTGTCACAAGCATTTTTTCCAAGTGCACGGCTGCTCAGATTTGTAAAGGAAAAGAGAAAATGGTGAAAAGTGAAATTTGTGTTTCCAGAGCAGATGACATCCTATCATAGTGTTGGCTGTCATTAATCAAGGGGCAAAATCATTTCCAATAAATAGAACCTTTAGTGCCAGAGCTCCTGGGAGACAATATGTAAATGATCACATGGATTTCAGACAAGCTGTCACACTAATTCCTCCAGGTCCCTTTTAAAGATGACACAAACGGTGGAGGTGAGTGCTGCAATGCTTACTGTGGAGCAATACTCCACTCTTGGAACGGATGATGCTCGTAGCATTATTTTTTGGGGGGTTGGGGGATCATCCCTTCCTATCAGATATGAATTCCTCTCTGTTACTTTATTTCCCTTTATCGATTAAAACTAATAGGTCAGCTCTTCCTTATTTCCTCAGAAAAATGAACCAGGCTAAGTTATTTCAACAAAGCAATTTTAGATTTGACTTATCTCCTATCTCCAAATATTTTAGAAATAAATATAAAGGGCAGGTTTCTTTACAGATAATGTATTTCTCAGTGGAATATATTTCAATAGGAAATGCATAAAGATGTTTGAGATACTGGTATCTACCTGGCTCAGTTGTCTAAAATCTACCAAAGTGTACACATATTTTAGTAAGGAAATGTTTTCTCAAAGTTGATTTAAAGCAAGTTGTCTAACTGGGGGGGAGAGCACTAACACAAAGATACCATACATTTTGGATGATGTGAACTGGGCTTGTACAATGCCAGATAAATAAAACTGATACAGCCATGAGGTGCTAGCAAGGAAGGAAGAGTTCTGTAAGTTTAAACACAAAATGTGTGTTTATCATCATAGTCCTATGCTTTTTTTGATAGAAGCATTTCCTGAAAAAGATTCTAGTCAGCTGCTACAGCCAGTACCCACAACCACCTAGTAACACCATCTATCTTTATGTATTAGATATCAGTTACTCTGGGCATTCAAATAATGACAGCAGGACACTTTGCCTTAGGAGAGGTGAATCCATTGGAGCACTGAAGACCCTGAGATGGGAGATTCAGGTATATATTAGACTCTATAGCCAAATTAAATTGTCAAAGCCATAGATAGGTGCATCACAAAGAGACTAAAACTGAGACAAGTCTAGCAACAGCACAAGCAAGTGATAGAAGAGCTCAAATCCTACATGGAAAATTGTGGAAGAAATTGGATCTTCTTGTCACCAGGTTTTCCAGGGGCCGCTTTCTGCCCTCTGTCCAACACTGGACTCAGCCAATCTAACAATTGCTCAGTTTTTCTCTTTCAATCTGCTATAAACAAGATTTACGAATTGAACTGGTTATTAACACATTTTATAAATATTCTTTTCTAAAATTAGAAAACACAGAATTCTGCCCTCCATAAAAGTGCGGAGAAACAATAATCTACCATATCTCATTAATTTGAGGATTAATTGTACCAGTAATACCGTCTAGAACAGTTGACTTCTGAATGAATTTCATCAGAGAAGGTAGTTAAACTGCTCGTCTTGGACAATTTCAGTCCAGTCTTCCATCTCAAAATGGGATGATACCTATTATTTAAAGAGGGAAACTGAGGCATGGAGTAAATGACCCAGATTCACACATCCCAGAGGAGTTAAGCTAAAATTCCAAACCAGGTAGACACTCCAGGAGACTACCTTGAAGTACCTGCAAGAGTTACCTAGCTCTATGCCTACACCTTCGCGCAGGCGCTATCTCCCCCTTCCCCTAGCCTTTCACCGGGAGAGTGCTTTTGTGCACACACCTTCAGCTGGCTGCCACTAGCAGACTCTTCGCAGTTCTGGCCAGCGGGGCGGTATTGATCGCCTTTCTCCTTAGGCTGAGTTAGGGGCTACCTCCTCGCCCCATGTGCAAAGTGCCACGCACACCTGATAGTGCTTGGTGGCTAATCTGTAGTCGCGCCCACCCTCTCCGCCATACCTCAGACCACCCGCCCAGCTCCCTCTCGGGGCTTTGGGCTCCAGTACCTGGACCATGATGCTGCCGCTCCTCCCGCCCCAGATTTTTCGGAGGAATTCATCAGCCTTTCCCCTGGCTGAGAAAGTGAGGTTCTTAGCAGCCAAAGGGAGTGGGGATGCAGAAAACGACGTTTTTTTCCCCCTAGCCTCTCGGCTCCAATCCCAGCTCTCCAAATTAATCACTTGCTCCCTGCTCCCTCCCCATGTACACTTTCACTCAAGGGAGGAAAAGAGAGAGAAAGACAGAGACAGAGAAAGAGGACAAGGGGAGACACAAAGAGGAAAAGGGGACTGTCTGTCCATGACTGGCATCCCCAGCTCCCCCGGCTCGGTCACCAGGGAGCCATGGCAACCAGCGCCCCCCATTCCCGGCTTGCCCTCTCGCCCCCACTGCGTTCTGTTGAGGTGAAGTGCTCTATGCCTCTATCTTTTCCTAAGGCGGCGGTTCACAGATCGCTCATCCCAGCTGGAGGCATTTAGGGAACGCCACTGCAACCAAGAATTATCTCTAGAGACTAGCGGCTAGATAGGGGCTTTAGGGCCAGGGTGAGAGAATCAGGACCTCCAAGAGCTAGAGGTGGACATTGGAGAGACGTGTAGAACTCCCCCCCCCGCCCCCCCCCCCCCCGCTTTCGCCTCCCAGATGGCTACAATCTACAGGCGGGCATGCATCCTCTCCAGAGGGTAAGGAAGGGGGCGGTGGCTATGTAGGAAGAAACAGGTCAGCCTACGGAAGGTTGAGAGCTTAAGGGTGCGGGGGTCCTGGAAGATGTTTACTACATCCAGTGACCTGGAGCTGTCGAAAATCCAGCCCTAACTACCAGCATCGGAGGTGCTAGGAAAGGAGGTGTCTCTTCTCAGGTTAGGGAAGGGACCTTGAGCCACTCCCATTTTGGGCAAGGATGGAGTCCTGGATTGTGCACCATTTCTCTTTCATAAGAGTTGCTCTTTTCCCAGGAGCAAGCCTTTGATTTTCCTCCACCTCGCTCAATGAGTTGACGAAAGGACAGATTGAGAGAACCCCATTCCTAGCAAGGCACGCGCAGATTTACTCACCTGAGCCTCCTCTGACGCCCGGTCTGTCGGGTACCTTCCCTTGGGAAAACTTCTCCTTAAGCGGGCTCACAGAGGCAAAGGGGACCAACAAGGTCCAGAGCCTCTGGGTGGATCCAGGGGAGTTTCTAGTTGGACGCTCTCTGCTGTTCCACACTCCGGTCTGCCCACAGAGATTCCGTCTGTCCCCTCCTGCTGTTGGCACAGGTCTCCAGAAGGCTGGACCTGTTCGAGCTTGCACCGGTATCCACGCCCTCCTAGGAGAGACTGGCTTGCTCCTCTCCTCCGCTGTCCCCAGGATCTGCTCTGCCACCCCTCACCCACACAGCTTCTTTTCCCTCCCTTTTACACACTCTCCCTTGGGACAAGAGGGAGTTACAGGCTTTAGATTTTGGTTTTATGAAAAGCAGGGAACAAAGACAAAACTTTGCTTGTCGTTTTCAACATCTCTAAGCCAAAAGAGGCAGGATCGCTGCGGGGTTTGCTTGCCAGCTAGAGACCAAAAAGAAACCCCTCCCCTCTGCTCTGTCTCCCACCCTTCCGCGTTCAGATTCCACACACAGGCTTCCAGTCTGTTTTACCCTTTGCTGCGTGGTGGAGGGTGTGGTGCCTTGTACCTCTTTTTAAAAATGTCTTGCTGGTTTTACTTCCTCATTGCGTGGTGGGGGTTGATGGAACTCTCAATTTAATTTACAAAAGAGGCATCTCCAGTAGCTGTCAAATCAATGAGTGCAGGCATAAATCTAAAGCTCTTCTACTGATATCTAATGTACAATTTGTGCACCGCTACCATCTGTACTTCACCAAATCGGCCAGTGACATTTTCTTATTTACTCTCTATTAATTCAGTGTGATGGAATAAAGATGTTTCTGCTCACTCACTGTGCAAAAGTCCATTCCTGATATTTTGTATATCTCTCTTCACTGATAAGCAAGATGTTTGTTTCAGAGATGCACTGCAGGGAAGTTACAGACATTGGCATTCTAAGTGATGTGCACACTCCTTCATTTTTCATGAACACACTGGTGATATTACCCAAATGTTCACTCAATATTACTTTAGAAAATCCTGTTGCATGGAGTGCTCTTTGATGGTAATGGAATTACTGACTTCTAACTTTTACTCTGCTGAGGCTGTGAGATTGATCTTACAGTCCTGTTTTGTTCTCCTCTAGTGCACTAAACAATGAGGACATTTATTGCTGTGTGCTACCCTCCAAGTCGGATGCCACTACAGGGATCAACAAGAAGTAAGGGGGCTCCAGAGTCTGCCTCAGAAGCACTTGCCTCAAATATCTTGGAATGAATAAATGGGCTTTTCCATGTTCATAATTGATAACCTTGAGGCCTCAATGCTGCCAGTTCGTGTGTGGGCACAATTCCTACTGCTTGTGCTGGCACAATACAAATGCAAGTGAGGGCAGGATGTGTCCTAGGTTTAAATTGTGCCACTGGAGTGATTCCTCTGCCGGAGGCGTCATTATTCATGCGGCATGTTTTCTAAAGTAGAAACAAAGAAAACTGAAATAAATTCCAACAAGGAAAATACTGAGCCTGTAGGAAACCCTTTCTTAGATTTAGGAGCCCCAAGAGAAACACAAAGCCAAGTTGGTCTCAAATTTACCACCTTCTGGGGTGGCATTTCCTGGGCAAAAAAAACTGAGAACTCTATTTTGGTAAGAGTAACAGAGAACTTTTAAAGATTCAGCTTGCCTTTCATTGGTTATTTGTTTGTTGGATACATTACATGGACAGGCAGATTATAAGTAAATAGATGGTAGATAAATGATAGATAGATAGATAGATAGATAGATAATAGGTCCACAGATTTGAAGAAAGGTGAGGGAAAGACGAGAAGTATGATTTTCCAGTTTGCTCTGTGTTACTAAACAATTAAACTAAATTAGAAAAACAATTACATATTTCTAAGAGAAATGTCCTAAACTCTATTAGGTGATACTAAGACACATTACCTCAAATAAAAAGATAAAGTGTCAATCTTTTATAAGTGTTCTGCTTACACACACACACACACACACACACACACACACACTCTTCTGAGTCTTGGATACCACATAAAACTTCATATAGAGTGGAACATTGATAATTGCCTGTGGCCAACTGGAAACTGTAATTAAGTAAGCATATAGCAACTCAATTTACCCAGAAAACCAAACTTTCAGAAAGAAAAAAGGAAGGAAAAATGCTTAGAGAAAGGGAGAAAGGGAAGGAGAGATGGAAGGAGGGGAAAATGGAGGGAAGGAAAGAGGACATATGGCAAACCAAGAAAGTAGAAGACTATGTTTGTTCAGAGGTGTGCTAAATAGAAGCAGGTGCCTTTAAATATCTGTATCCAAGATGTACCTCATAGCTATGATCTATACCAGGTTTCTTTTGGGGGACACCAGCTAGCTTCCAAATCATGACACAGAGACTTATTATTAGTTTTAAATGCTCAGCCTTTGCTTAGATTTGTTTTGTAATCGCTCTTATACTTTAATCTGTTTTTCAGCATCTGCATTTTGCCTCAGGGCTTTCTCTCTCTCTCTCTCTCTCTCTCTTCCTTCCTTCCTTTCTGTATATCTTACTTCCCTGCTGTCTTTATATCTGGCTGGCAGCTACCTGGCTTCTGGGCCTTGGGTGTGTCCATCTCCTTCTCCCATGTTCTCTTCTTCTCTTGTTCTTCTCCTCTTTGGGGTCTAGATTTCTTCTCCTAATTATTCTACTTGCCAGCCCAACATATCCCTCTCCTGCCTAGCTACGGGCCATTCAACTTTTTATTATACTAATCAGGTGCCTTAGGACAGCAAGGTGAAACAAATGCAACACATCTTTACATGATTAAAGAAATACAGCACAAACCAGTGTAAATCCTTATATCATTAAACAAATGCATTATAAACAAAGGGTTACATCATTCGCAAAGGCAGCAGAAACAAATGTAACACACCTACACAGAGTTAAAGTAATATTCCACAGCATAAACAAATGTAAGACATCTTTGACTAGTTAAAATAATATTCCACAACAATGATCTCTATGCAGCAAATACAAGTAGCACAGTCATGCTTGCTGGCCAAAGCGACAGCTTCCAGCAAGTCTGGAACCAGAAGACAGTCTTCATCCAGAGTGAAAGGATGTGAAAGATACCTTCTGTTGCTGCTTTGAGCCTCTCTCCTGGCTCCCTCTCCTCTGTCTGACACTTCTTCACTCTGCACACACCCCCAATCTATAAGAGATGCAGGGGAAACACTACCTTTTCACAAATCACACAGAAATCTGATCACATTAGCTTCAAAAGGTGTGAATTTTCTCTCTTGTGATGGATGAAGACCCTGCCAATTGAAAACACTACTACTGGACCACAAAGGAGGGGGGATGGGTTTTTCTCATAAACAGAAGCAGAAGGTGAGAGAGATAGGCCAGTGGACTGGAAAAACACAAAAGGTATCAAAAGCTCAGGCATTTTTCTGCTTTTCCTGCTGATTTACTGCCTATCCTCTGCCTGGAGCATCATTTGGTATCATTCCCAGCGCTGGGGCTATTGCAGGAATATTGCCTTTTGGCAAAGCCAAGCAGCTAGAATGGCATCATTCCTAGAAAAATTGTTTAGTGGAAGAGTTGTAGTGTTGGAAATGGCATTGCAGTCTAGCAGTTCCCAACAGTCACAGATCGACTGGGATTTTCTGGCCAACTGCTGTAATAAAAGGAAGGCAGGATGTTCCTCTGAGGAAAAGATCCTCCAAAGGCAACCTTGGAGACACAAAGCAGCCTCCTGCAGCTTAGAAACTAACAAAGCTAAGACCAGAACAGTGACTCGGCATAACCAGAGAGCCCATCTTCCTTTAACTTGTCCTCTCATTTGTGAACAAAAGGACATGTATTAACAATCAAAGGACAATAATTCTGAGACAAATAAGGTAAACCTCCCTTGTTTCATGCTATGGATCATTAATATATGTAATTTGGCCCTAGGAACTCATAGAATCTGATATGATTATTAATGGATTTTTAAAGGGCCATGAAATTATATGGCCATTAATAACCTTATCCTCTGGAACTAAATCAGCAGTAGATGATACCAAATCTCACAGTTTAGGTATTCATTGACATGACTAGGCTACTGTCTTTTGGTGGTTGGCTCCAAAGTCCTGTTTCATCAAAATTGATTTCAAAGACCTGCAAACCTGTATCATAGGGTAAATTTTCAGTTGTTGAGAGAAGTTCTGGTATTTTCAAATGATGGAAAATTTATTTACACCCCTCTATTTCCAATGTAATAAAAACCAAATCAAAACACAACGTTTTATCCTGGTAAAATATTTACCCATAGCTTTCTTTTATATTTGCAGATTGTATCATTCAGAAATTATTTTCAAAGTCATACAGGTGGTTAGTGAACTAGTATATAATGATAAACACCACCCAATTTTTGGTGTCATGCAATTTTAGAATATAATAAAGCAGTTTAGGTAACATTATATATCTCAGTTCTGTTATAACAAGCAAGACAAAGAAAGGAGAGGGGGAAAATATGGTGATCTCATATTACTTCCTCATTGTCTTTTATTTTGTATTACTGATTTTGAAAATGGATTGGAGAAAAAGTAGATAGCAAATAGATTTGATTAACATAAAGTTTGTAGAAGGCATTGACTCTTCCTCAATATGTTGTTAGTTTATTTTTGGTTAAATGGCTAACTACCAAGTGGATGACTAAGTTGGGCTTTATGTCTAAACTCTTGCTAAAAATACACAAAGAAAAACAGATGATTTCAGATTATTCACTTAAAGATAATTCAAGCTTCTCTTTTAGTTCTAGTTATGCTAAGGATTGCAAAGAGACCTCATTAACCTAAATCCCTAAACTGCAATGGACCAGTCTACTTACTAACATGAAAATTTGAGCATTTTTTTCTTTAAACCAGTCTCTCAGAGTCCCTTTTATGTAACAACATAAACTCTAAGTAAGACATCTATAGTTTTTATTATAAGAATAATTTCAGAAGTAAATCAATAATGGCCTACGGTGAATATTTCTTGGTTTTACTTGCCCAGTTCATTTACATTCATTCAATTTAACCAACCTTAGGACAACATCTACCATGTTTACATGGCTGGGCTAAAGCTATCTCGATGTTCCCTTTCTTTCTTTCTTTCTTTCTTTTTTTTATTTCTTTCTTTCTTTCTTAAAAATTTTTCGAGACATTTTCTCTGTAGCTTTGAAGCCTGTCCTGTTGGAACTAGCTCTTGTAGACCAGGCTGGCCTTGAACTCACAGAGATCTGCCTCTGCCTCCCTAGTGCTGGGATTTAAAGACTTTTGCCACCACCG